ACGTCGAATGGTGTTCGGGAGAAATAACTCACCCTCGATAGATGAACTGATCACACTGCACAGGTTGCGTTGGCTTGGCCACGTGTTGCGTATGCCAGTCGACCGACTTCCTCGAAGGGCTGTTTTCGCCCAACCATGTGAAGGGTGGAAGAGAGCCAGCGGCGGTCAAACAATGACTTGGCAGCGAAGTGTGAAAGCCATTATCAGCAAACTCAGCCGCGCTGGTCACTGCCGTCTTCCTGGATGGGGACCCCGAGACGGGCCACATCAATGGCTAGAGACATTATCAGACATGGCCCAGTCGTGCCCTCAATGGCGCTCGTGCATCAAAGCTATTGCCTTCAATTCATAGTTCCTTTTCCAACCCCCCTCCACTTGACAGCCCACTGACAGTGCTGGATTTATGCACCAATTTACCAGCTCGCGCGTGCAATGCGCAGCTACCTACCCCCCAATCATCGATGAACGAGACTGTGGCAGCTACAACCAGTGTACGACGAGTACGCGGTTCTTACAGCTGACACTGATAATGAGAACTGATTGTGTGTCTATCGACTACAGTCTACAGGGACGTCCCACCCCGACCTTAGCTATCAGATTTCGAAGTAAGAAAAATCCTGGCCCTGTGGAAGTTGGTAACTGAACGGGATAATTACGGTGAAATGGAACTGGAAGACGATAATGATTAGAATTTCTACCTCTTGTGCTTTCATTTGGTGGAATCGGTGGGCGGGAAAGTCGTCAGATCACAAAGTGTTCAAATTGGATTGGTTCTCGATGCCTCGCGTCTGATGGTTGTTTTTATGATCAGAACCATTACTATGGCTTGGTAGATCGATGTGAAGAATACGAGGACTTTTGCAATACATTACAGTTGCGCTATCACAAATTCATGGAAACACCCTGCGTTGTATTAATAACAGATCTTTTGTGTGGAGAATGGACTATTGATGCCCTAAGGGGTGAGAAAATTGAAATAGGATCCTCCAAATCCTCTATGCAGTGTCTGGCATGATCTTCAGGAGGCGCCTCATTTCATCAGCGCGTGATCTATCGATAGTGGCCCCGGCTGTCATTATCAGGAAAGCCTGGCTTGGAATTGTGTACTAAACATACCTCGAAATTATTCCCACTTATCGCCATCTTAATTGGCATATTTCGCTACCTACACCGATAGACGTTTGATTTTTAGCAGAATCGTGTATAATTATACACTGCTGGACAGAATCTTGATTTACGCATCAAAGTATCACTCTCCTGCCTTGGTCGTAGTGCAGCTCCTAATCGTCCTATGGAATCGGACGTAGTCGGGTTGATTTATGTCAGAATCCCACTGCAAACAGTCAGCCGAGAAAAAGTGTGAGGTCGATAGTGGAAATTTACGAGCAGATCTCTAATATGGCGATTGTAAAAATATCTTTGATACACTGTCCATTTGGTCGTCGTATTATCTTCTCTGAGTTAGGGGTCCTAGGCTTGGCAATGGTAGTTAGGTGTGAGTCTTCCGATAGTGTGATCACTTTAGTGAACTGCACTCCGTTGGCGGCTTTGTTGCGTTTCGCTGTTCCAGCAGTTTAAGGTCTGGTTCTTCTCTTGCGTTTTGAGCCTTTGTGCTACTTGCTTTAGCTGGTTTCTGACTGGTTTGCTGACTCTGCTTTTTTCCTCTGTATTGTATAGGCTGTTTGACTGGCGTTTCATCTTGAGACGTGATCCCTTGATATAGTTCGTCCCTTTGGACACTACAGTTGACTCTATTTTGCAACAAAGGGTCTGGGCGCATCATTTCCCTCCACAGACCACACAGTGTACGTAGTTCATCTGTGAATATCAATTGATTCTGGACCTCGAATAAATGCCGGATATTGAAGAAGACCCGGAATTGTACTGGGCACTGTTCTTTTTTGGCTGATAGGTCTCTTTGAATCGCATCGCTTAGTTATGTAAACATCTTCTGGTGGCCTCTCTGGTCTTTCCCAGCTTTTTGTCTGAGATGGAACTCGCAACTAGTTCAACCCCCTGATTCTCGTTCTCTTCTGGTTCATAAGCCCTGGAGAATGTACCAGTAATAGACATTTGGCTTCCTTGTTCGTAGTCATACTTCACAGTCATACTTTTGCTGCTACCATCCTCGACAGACTTCTCAGCATTTAGCTTAGAGGCTTTCTGACGGTGAAAATGGGAGATTTATGGATGGTGAATTCCCCTTTTGAACCACTGAGCCATCTCGAGTATACTGTTTTAAGAATCCACAGTTGTAGGTAATTGGCAGTGCGGAGTTCCATCTGGTTCCAGGGACATTGTGGTGTACAGTCATTCGTTTCCCACATGAGTTGCTGCTCTCAGTTCATTGATTCCTGCGGGTGCTACGTTGGCTCCAAAATTGTTCGACCTTTTCCGGAAGCCACTTTCTTAGCTCCGAAGTGACTAAACAAGGCTAGGTGACTGTAGCGGGAATTTTCAGAACTGTATAAGCATGCCTCATATAAAAGGGCAACAGGCTATCCAACAAAATATAATAAATTTTTAGTCGCGGACAAGCGCAGGAAGAGCGGACTAATTTCACCAGTCACTATCGTGAAGGGACAAGTGACCCCAACTCTAACGCCTCATTTTCGCTGAATTGTTGTGAAGGGTGTAGGCATGTTTTGTCCTTGGTTTGTTAAGTCGGTAAGAATGGTTCGTCACCTTAACTTAGTTCACCCGGACCGTTCCTCCAATTCAGCTGCGTATGCAAACTTGTAATCACTTCCACATACCAGTTACTGATGAGTATAAGTGCAGCTTCCCGCTTGTACGGTGGCACACAATTGAGCTCATTGCATTTTATTTTTCAGGGCTTTCATGATATCTGTTATATATTTTTGTCCGTACTCGGTGAAAATAATGCACGGTTATTGCTGAATAAAATCCTTCCTGATCGCTTCGGGTAAGTACCATTTTATATTAAGCATTTTTTGGTCGCGCTGTACTTGTCCTAGTTAAATGCATACTATTCACACTTTTTAATGGATTTCAACCGTACACCTAGCTTACAGCACATAATCCGACGGAAAACGACTGCCTTTATTTGGCGTCGTAATTGAGTGCTCTAGTGATCTTGTGGGTTACACTAGCTCGAACTCCGTTCCTCAAGGCTCCTCTATGTTAATAGGGCCAAAAGAGAAAAGCCATACGAAGAACGGCGGACCCCTGGACTGTATGAAATTGTATTATGGACTGCTTAGCCAAGGTTTGTGTTTAGGTATTGGCTGTTTAGGCGAAGTTCACAATGGACGCTTAGTCAACTTCATTCATGACGTTTTACTTCGATGTGATGCTCAGATGAGTTTATTTCATTGCTCCTTCGAAGTGTAAGCCCCTTGGATATGAGACCCCTTTCCTTCCAGCTTTGCTGATGCTTTCTCTTCCTATGGTCGAATGGAATGCACTGTTATTTCGGTTGTCGTGATGGTGAGGTTGGTTTGGAGGTTAAGTCGTCCTGTTCTCTGTAACAGAAGCGTGAAGTCAGCTAGTTGTTCCTACAGGGCGATCAGCATTGTCACACCTATTAAGCACCTACCCGAGAATGGGCGCGTTACAAATTGTTGGCCCCGAAATCCGCTCCGTCCCATCTGTCAGCGTCTGACCGTGACCCCCGACAACATACCAAATACGGTCAACACCTGATGAGGAGCCGATGCGGCTCCAAGCGCACTTTCGGTGTCCAGTAGCACCAGATGCGAGAAGTCTGTGCTTTAGTCCTTGTGCCATCGGACTGGGACAGCCAAGCATTTCGGACTATTGTGTTATCGGCTCTGATGCAGGGCACGGAAAACCCTAGTGCCAGCTGCCTTGTGAGTCAGACTTTTCAATCGTAGGCTTCGGTCAGGGTCTCTGGACGAAACTCTATACTTCCCTGTCGCCTCGCATGGTCAGATACTTAACTAAAAGATACAAGATAAAGTTCCTCAAGCAACTCACTCCTTCGGCCTGAGAAACCGTGAAATACCATTAGCCTTTACAGTTCTTTGTTCACCGACCGTCAGTAGCCATCCGTCCAAACTCTCACTAGTCCATTCAGATGTTTGTCATCTCATTACTGTTCCATCCCTAAACCCAAGCTAACTTTCTGACTTTCATTGCGACTTTTAGTGTGTTTGTTTTCCGTCAATTTGGGCTGCAGGCCTTCTTTGCCAAAGCTTTGCCATCCTTTTTTATCTATGTATTTTGTGTTTCCGAAATACAAGAGTCAAGTGCTCTCAGACATTGATCCTGATGGAATGACCTCGATTGGGAAGTTGCATTGAGTCTCAGATTTATAGGCTACTTGTTGGACTGGATTTCAGTTGGTGATTGCCTGAATGATCATTTGGAGGATAATTATAGGGGGTTGTAAAAAACTGTGCACTTGGTTCTGGCAAGTCAAGCCATCTGACTCGACTAGATGAGCAGCGGATATAATCAATGTCGACAGCTCTTATCGATGCTGGACTGTAGGCTGTTCACTTACTCGTATTGACCAACTCGGGAAAACAAAACGGAGTTTGCCCGGGATCCATCCTTTTTTGCCTTAGAATAGTCGGCTTTCCCTTTCAAACGACCGATCATGTCGTTTTTCTTGAATTAAAAGCTACTTTTAGGCTTTTCAGTGATCAGAAACTATGGCAGTGTCTGACAATCAAAGGTGCATCTTCCTTCATGCAGTCATTATAGGCTGATTCCTGTGTGCATGTGTGGCCTGACGAAGAGCTCACCTGAGTTTACCGTGTCCATGGGTGTGAAATAAGGCACCCCTCGCCATCCCTCTTCAAATTCGTTATTCATATACTGGTTGCAGAATCACCGCCCACTTGAGATTTGTGGTCAAAATGTCCTCGTATTCTAATTGACATACGTTAAGTACGTGGGTGATATAAACGCCTTTGGTTTTGTCAAACATTTAAACAACTTAGGGTACGTTTCAGCATGCGCTTCACAATTGGGCAGCGTAAGTAGCCGCTGCTGCGACAGTGAGATCTTTACCGCTTAATGGGCCTGGATTTGCTTGTACGTGTGAAGATATACGCAAGCTTTCGTTGTTTGACTGCCAATGTTTCCCGTTCCCGACAGGAAGATCATATCAGTCGTTTTTAGGAGAAGGGAACTCCCCCACGATTAATAGGCTGCTCACGCTGACTCGAGCATACACTCACATATCAGAGATTCGTCTACCTCGCAGAGATTTTTTGCTCATCCCTGCGCTGTGCCGATAGTCAATGACGCTGCAATGAAGTAGGAACTCAGTCGAGTCCATAACTACCACCTTGGATGGCAAATGGTTATTCCCACTGACTGCGCACAACCAGGTGAGGCGCATCAAGGCCTTCTGTGCGGAACTGTTCAGTTTTCAGTTCTGTCAAATAGAACAGTGCTACCTGCGTTAGTCGCCAATGTCTGGCTATTCTTTCCCTGTTTTTCCGATTTCCAGTGAAAGGCTCGTAAATAGTCTGTAAGTGAATTGTATTAAAAGGCTGGTGTAGCAGTTGCAGTCCAATATTATCAGTTTGTTGTACTGAATCGTATGTCATCAGAGCTCTAAACTATCCGAAGAAGTTATTCGTGCTGCTTTATTACGGCAGAGTATGGATACCTGATACGAACCTTTACGTCCTAAATCCGTGTTTGTTTGTTTAGCTATCCGTCGATTAGTGGAATTGACGGATGACAACACTGTCCTTGGTTGAGATCCTTTTCCGTAGATTATCCCTTTTCTTGCTTACCAGCGTCTACGAGTTCAAGTGAGATAATGATTGTCATGAGTTTCTACGTGTCTTGCTGAATGAAACTCAGACACGTTTTTGCCATTTGTTTCTTTCAGTCTTTTCATGGAGGCATCGATGGACAGCACGGTAGAGTACATGCAGTTGATCTTTGCCCTCCTTGGTCATCTGAGACCGACACTCACTAAAAATCTCGAAGCAGTTGGCCTTGGACCACATTTCGCCCTTGCTTGGATCGTAACTTGGTTCGCTCACGTGCTGCCCGAAATGGACGACGTTCGTCGGCTGTTCGATCTATTCCTCGCTACCGACCCGCTAATGCTGATTTACTTATCAGTTGCCGTACGTTTCCATCTTTACTCCCTTCTTTTCACACCGTCGGTCTTTTTTGTGGTCCGATGAGAGCACTTCAGGATGAGTCGATTTCGTACCTACCAAATCAAAATATATGCTTTAATCAGGGCATATCGAGAGGATATGTTTGGAACATGTGTTGAGCTTGACCAACTAAGCTCGGAGGCTGGTTTTGCTTGTTGAGTCTTGCTAGGCTTGTGCACTTTTATGGAGGTACGACACGACTAGTCGTGAAGGGTGATCTACCACCTATTTTGTCCTGATTGGATCTTGTCAAATGATAACAGCAGTTTCGACCGTATGATGCTTTGGCTAACAGTTTTTCGCCGTTGGTCTCAACACTATGTGTGGTGGATGAAAATTTAGGAGATTTATTCGCCTAGTCACATGAGAAATTTGAGGCAACTTTTCGCGCTTCTGGCTGAGGGTCTGCTGGACACAATATCCGCAGGACGTAGTTTGGCTATTATGTGTAAAGGCAATGTGTGGTCACTTCTGAAATGTAGTCCAATACCATCGGTAGTAACATCAGCGTTAACATTGGCACAACGTCGTGTAATTTACATGAAAAAAGTACCTAGATAAAGCAATGACTGTACGGATAAGTGGCCTGATGCTAGCTAGTCGCACACATTCTAAGAAGCTTACATCTTTAGGCGTTCATTCAGGCGATTCGGACGGAAACTGACAACACAATCGTCGCTGACGTCGGTTAACCAACATATTTTCAACGACTCTAGCGAAGCATAGGAAGGCTTATGGAAACTCACTGCTCTAAGGTGGACCGCACTAACAACATGTAAACTCTTCCTAATCTCTTCCATACCCCTCTCTCAAGTTACATGTCCACGCCGCCCAATTCTGAAGGAGGCAGTAACACGCGGATGGTGGCTCGATATACGTAGCCCATAAGCGTATTGTTTGATAGTGCTGGATGTTTTATGCGGTCGCACAGCCAAACATCTATTTTCTAATTACCCCGCTAGGAATTCGTCGACACCGTCTTATATCACCAACACTTCGAAAACATCGGTGCTCGAAACTTTAAAACGTCTCAAGCCATCAACCCACATAGACTACACTTCGCAATCACTCGAAAATAGCGCACACTGACATTATCAGGTAGACTTCCAATAGAGCTAATACCACTATTCAGATGGATAAAACTCATTACCTCCAGTGTTTTCTCTCAGAGCATGTGAAGACACTTCAAGTTCCGAAGCTGACTTCGTAGGTACGAGGTGCATAGCAAAAGAAGATACATCGACTGTTATGTAATCTAACAATGCGCTTTCTGCTCATCTGTGTCCTCCACACGTCTCAGGTCGGTAAGCTTCTTACTGGCAACGAATTGGACACTGAAATTTTGAGGGCCTGGCAGCGTTCGCCTCGTTACTTCATCGCTGATAAACTTGAACAGAAATGGAGTGGGCATTCTTGATGGGCGCAGCCTTTTGCAGGCGGCTTTTGCGAAATTCCATATATACTTTCGTCCAGAAGCACTCGAATCTAGTGACCGGACTATGTTCCGAAATTCTGGGACTTCCCCTGATGAGTACACGTGATTGGGAGCATCGATCGATCGGCAGAGTCGCCCTCATCCTTGAATTCAAGATACACCAGGTTGTGAGTCATCTGGGCATATGAAGCTGCTCTGAAAACATGCTGGAGTATGAAGATGTGGTCGGTACAGCCTGTGCGCCCTGAAAGGATCAAGGTTCCCCTTGTTTCCTCAAGTGACAATGGGTCAGTTACACGGTAGGCCTTGTCATAACGAGAGTTGGACTGACATTACCTTTTTTGGTAGGCGTATACACTCGAGCACCTTTGAGGCTGAAGAGGATTGTGTATTCACAGTTGGTTCCTGTTAAGGGCGGGCAACCCGCACGGGAAGTAACAGGTGACCAACTGAATTTCTTTCCGAAATATTCTTCAAAACATCCTGTGCTGCATAGTGATTCTCCGAGGACGTGTTGAATAAATCAAGTGGGATAATTAGTGAACGTTCTCAATATTTCTGCTTCCATTTGTTCGGCTTTCTGGACCCAACAAGTCTCAAGGCCTGCGCGGCATCCAGTATTCCCTGATTTTTACGACGCGACGATTTGAGTTGTGGTGGTGACAGAAGTGGATCTGCCGCCGGACTCCCAGGACTATCAGTCTTTGAGGGGTCAAATAATAAACAATAATAACAATCATTCAGCCGCAGAACTTCCGGTGCATAGGTACCATAACACCCGAAGAAAGCACGAGGGCTGAGCTACTCCCAGGTTTCCGAAGCCTAGACAGGAACAGTCAAGATGGAGAAATTGGATTCGAACCACAGACCTTCTGGTCAGCAAGTTCTTTAGCTCTTCGTGGTCAACTGGAAGAGGCTGACAAGGTTTTATTTGAGTGTAAAAAGGGGTATGTTATCGCCTAACCTCCCCGTTTTATACAGCAATTTAGGAGACCCGGAAGACAGCACCATCCGATGACCGGTATGGCATGACAGCATTTTTAGCTGTAAAGTTCTTTTGTGGCGCCCACATTTTCACTGCTTTCAAATATTTCGAATTTCCTGACTTGTTTGTCGTGTGCATGTTCTTACTTATTTGCATCATCTAACGCTGAATAGTTCCTGGAGTGACTACAAATCTCAATTGCAAAAACTGTTTTCGTAGTTAACTCGTCACCAGAGCGTGCGTGGAGACAAGTATCACTTTGTGTGCATCACCGTAAACGGAACAGAAGTTTAAAGGCTGCTACCCCAATGCTGTGCACCCAGAGAAGTTTGTTTAAAGAAGCTCTAAACTTGATGTACAAGAATGTGATCCGAAGAGGGAGTCTGTCCTAATCTACAACAAGTAATATGCTGCTTCTGTACCTTCCAACGCTCTCTCAAGTAGTATGGACGGAAACTCTTTTCATCATCCGGGATGGTAAACGCCAATCGTACACGGCGTTCTTCCAGGAATGTCAATGACAGAATAACCGAACAAAATGTTATTTCTAGTCGAGCTGATAAGCGCTCCGCTAAGACTTACACAACGTCCAGTATTTGGGTAGGTTGCACTCGTTAACCGTCTTCCCACATTCGGAAACGTTTTCATAGGTCACTGACCAAACGGTTGCAAAATTGAAACTAATACGCCAAGGATTTATGTTATCGGCCTAGGCACCCATCTTCATGCTATATCCGAAAATATAAAATTAAACATCTAGAGTTTTTGGGCTGTCAGTCTCTGTCTCATTCTCTCTCTCATTTCCAGCTTCATACCCGATTAGGTTATCAATCATGTTCTGAATGTTTTTACCAGTTTGAATAGCTCATATCGATGGGTCGTTAAGTATCAAACCATAGGAAACCAGCAGGCTTGACGCCAGTGAAGCTCATGTGATAAGTCTATTTAGAGTAGCCTTCCACTTGCGATTAAATGCACTGTGGGCACCAGCTTCTACCCTAGGCATTTAATGTCAGCAACTTTATTCCGCGACTTTGACTCTGTTGGTAGATTGACTATTCCGAACGAGGCTTATCCATCAATTCTAAGCGCCCTTAGTCCGCTTCATTGTCATACACACATCCGATTTATGGTGCAGAATGAATCATCCAAAGGTTTCCTCACAGCTAATTGGGTTCGTCAGGTTGTTCTGCTTTGTTCCAGTTTGTTTTCTACGCTATCATAAAATACAATCTCCAGGGGGCCATGAATCTGGGTACCGAAATCACATCTGAAGAGAGATTGATGAAATTCGTTTATTGGGACGACATGGTTTTTTCTGTTTTCCAAACAGTTGTCCACGCAAAGTACGCTGAATGGGACACCAGAGCTGATATCGTTTTTGGCATGTGCTAGAGCTTCTTATGGTTCCAAAACTTCACCCTTCCTGTCTGAGAATGTTAAATATCAGTGGCGTGGGTACTTGGTAACTAATCACAGTTGGATCAGCAAACCAAGCTGTCAGAGTTGTGGTGTTTCAGACTTGTATTGCGCATAACCAACAGCCGCTTATCAAGGGGTGTTGCCTTCCGTCCCAAACCATCTTTGGGGGAATGTTCACGGGTGACAGGCCGTGTTGTGGCAGTGTGAAATAAAGGGGATTACAATCGGTGTTACGGGATCTTTGTAACTTCATCGCTTGATCTCGTGTAGTTGCAAGTGGCTTGAGACCCTGCAGAGTATGGTATCAACTGACCCTATTGGTGCTTATTCTGTCATCTAACTATTCGGTCTGGCTAAGGTCTGCTTATTTTGAGCCGGACTGGTGTTGGGTGAAGTTTGTGGAAAATTCTGAATCAGTGGTGCTCACATGTGTTTATTTTAATAATGTTGAAAAGTGTAGGCGTCTTATCATCGATCGTTTTTTCTAAGGTCATTATTTCTTTGCACCCTTGTCCTCCTGTTCTTTCCTTTCCTCGTCATTGAATGGAATGTGAGCGCCATATATGCCATTTGTGCATTCCTTTTTGTGATGAGGCGGATGGTGTGGAGGCGCAGGACCCTACCTCTATTAATATACTAGTTCTCCGAACTCACCCGGTCCATCCAACATCCAGTTTTCTTTTTTTATTTTTTCCAGGTCATTATTCGAAGTGACGAAGAAGTTCAGTCCAATACGTCAGACTTCGGAATGTTGCATCACACCCTGCTCCGCCTACCAAAGAAACATCCTGTCGAGGAGCTTGTTCGCTACTCGGTTAAGTTGTACATATCCGTGCCGCCCGATCAACTTTTGGCTTTGGGCAAACAGCGCCACTCGGTTTTGTCCGCCATCAGTACGGAGGTTCGGAGAAAACCGATTGCTCGACGTCGCAGTTTAGCTACCCGGTGGTATATTGGAGCTGTTTTGGTTGTCGCTCTTGCGTGCGTCATTTACTGGTGGAGACCAAGCTAGTTTCCTTGTTCCTTTGTAACTTTTTCCTATCCGATTGCGTCATTCGAACCAAGGGGTGTCGGTATTTGGCTACTGTGATAGTGTACACTGATTAATGTATTTACTCCGACTTTTTCCGACACTGTGTATACGTACTTTCGCGTTTTGTATGTTTCGACCTTTCTGCAGAGCTTTTTTGATTATTGTTTCAATTCACAATAAAGTTATCTGCCGCACGTTCGCTTTTCCGGATTCAGTTGTGCTCTGTCGTTAGCTCCTCAAGCTTCAAACTGTTTCACACATCTGGTCCTTTTCGTTCTTTTTGTGCTGGTACGCCTTCGCGTACCGAAAAAACGTGAGTTGTGTTGCCTTGTCGTTGTGGTGTTGCCTTGTTTGATTACTGACAGACTTTGGATTTCATTGTGTGGGGCGTTTGAATCTTTTTAGTTTTGCTTAGTACTTCAGTTACTTGGGATGGTCACCATAGTATCGATTCACCTTCGATCTTTCTTGATTTCTCCGACATTTATGGATTCATTTTCTCTTTGCAGCTTTTATCATGAGTGTGCACTTCAGCGGTGCTATGGTTACACTGTTTGTTTTGCTACTTTTGGATCTCGGCCAAACACAGGATTCATCCGTACCCTCATCTTACAGTGGCCCATCAGGTTCTACTTTCCAAACAGCTTTTACTTGGAATGGATATCTTCTCGCTTGCTTTGTCGATTTAAATGCTGATCGGCAGATGGATGTGGTCCTACTAGATGCTGCTGGTACTGATTTGTTCGTGTCACTGGCCCCAAGTACAAGATCATCCTTGACGTTCGGGCCAACACCAAGCCGTAACCTTCCACCTCCAACTCTTCTTTTTTCCCCTGGTCTTGGCGAAAAGATCCGAAGTGTGGCAGCTGCTGACTTTAACGGAGATTCTCTTGTCGACTTCATGCTACTTGTCTCCACCGCCCGAACAGGACCTTATAAAGTATATTTAGCCTATGGCGTACCCGGGTCCACGAGTTTGTCGTTTAGTAAGTAACAGTCCTTAAACTTTTATGACAAAGCTGAGGTTTTGAACAGTAGTTGCATTCCACCGCGATCGGTTCGTTTCGGTTGCGCCCTGGTGCAGGTTCCATACATCTCCAGTTGTATCGTAGCCTATGGTTATGGGTCGCAAATCGAGGAAACAGGCATTTCCGCACGCAGCACTTGTACTTTTTTACATAGAATTTCACGCTCCCCATCTCGGAATTACTACCGCTTGAATGTAACAGCTTATCTAGGATCACGCTTATCTTTCTGGCTCTCTTCTTTCCTAGTCTTGGCACTACGGTAGCCCCTGAATCTGCTTTTCGCAAAAAGCCACTATTGCTGGTCTCTTGAATTCTTTTTAACCCAAGTATCATGGTACAAAAAAAACATCATAGTGGCGGACCTACTGGACGCTGGCGCTCAGACTGTTTTGCCTCCCGTAATATTCGCCAGGGCGTCTTGTACATGACCAAGTGAATTATGTATCTGATTCATCATCATCGGCAGCATGATATCAGTGTTCAACACTAATGGTTCGCTGATTCACTCCTTTCGGAACGCGTCACGCCTGGTGGGTCCTTTGAGATGATGTCCACAAACGAGGATAGCGGTATGGAGTTCATAGGAAACTTCGAAACACGTTAGTTAATCGGAACCCCTCACAATATGAACGACGGCATAATGTCTCATTCTACATAGCTTCTTTTAATCAGCGGGCATGACAAGCCATTTCGTTGCCGCTGTTGGAACTTCCAGTCATCGATGGCGTCATTCCGATTCTGCTTCTTATATACCATGTGAATGGTAATAGTGCAGTGGCAGTATGAGGAGATATTGGAATTTTCCTGTCGAGGTTTTGATCTCTGACTAAAGTCAGTCTACACCGGGAAGTACTATACGGCTCCACCCTTCTCACAAATCACCAAGGCGGTTTGAACTCGCAGCTTCCAGGATGGCAGCTGAAGAGGGGGCCGTTCGCCCACAAGTGGCTGGTTGGCACTGTGGTTAGACTTAGACAATACATAGCGCCAATCATCCTTCAGTCACTGAATTCACGTCACGTAGTCACTTGTCAAATGAGTAACTATTCAGACGGACGGTTCACTCGTCGTGTAAATTATTTTCTCCTTCTGAGCTACTTATACTTTGTAGGTACCATGAAGCGGTGTCGGAATTTTTCACTGGGAGTTCTCATGCCAGTGATACTCGCCTTCGCCGGAAAATTGAGAAGTATTGTGTTGTACTGTATTCTACTGTACTGTATTGTACTGTTGTTTTGTTTCTAATGAGACTCACGAATCTCCGAGTGTATCCAAGACCTAAACGGCTGTACACTGCTTTTCTCCATTTTGGACTTAGATCGGCTCCACTTACAGGGTGAAGCCTCTGCTAATAAATCCGCTACATTTTTTTGTTCTATGCCCTAGGCCTGTCTGCCAACAAATCTTAGACTGAACTCGTGAGATACCTAGTCTTATTCGTTTTTACTACTAAAATGCTAGTTCTGTTAAAATGAGTTATGCGCTCTGAAGGCGCCGAACGACTGAAAAGCCCGGTTAGAAAGTTAAGTTTACAACTCTTTCCTAGGACGTGCAGAAAATCGAGAATTCGTCGAGCGTATTGACGTGCGCTGTAGTCGTTTGTTTACCGCTCGGTAACGTTATATGACTTTTTCCATCAACACAATTTTTTTCCTCAACCGCCGACAGCATAATTCCATTGTTCAGCGAATGCTACCTTTTTCGATAATCACGCAGTTGCATTTTGGTTCCTATTGACCGTTCGGATTGAACTTCGTCACCACTGAACATGGTGTCAGTCGATCCTATTCGCCACCCCCCCCCCATTCACCCCCATCCCAGGCTGGGGCACTTTCCCACTCTTATGTCCCAACTAGATGGCTGCATAATATTGCTACTGTTATTAGGGTTTCAGACGCACAGAGACCGCAATGAATCATGACTCGATTGTGTCGTTTTTAATCAGACGGTCAGGTGCTTCAAAATTTTGGGGCTGTGTTTACAGGGAGCTGAGATATTCACAGAGGATGGGATGCGTTTATCTGGGGCACTTTCCCACTCTTATGTCCCAACTAGATGGCTGCATAATATTGCTACTGTTATTAGGGTTTCAGACGCACAGAGACCGCAATGAATCATGACTCGATTGTGTCGTTTTTAATCAGACGGTCAGGTGCTTCAAAATTTTGGGGCTGTGTTTACAGGGAGCTGAGATATTCACAGAGGATGGGATGCGTTTATTGGCGTTTCGACCAGTACATTGAGCAGTAGCAGTGTTCTTGGTGATGTGGTTGAATCGATGTGTGCTGTCTTAGGTCTGTTTCACCGTTGAAGCATTTCTTGAGTCCACGTTCAGTATATCTGGACTCTTGGAATTCCCCATTTCTCATTTCTGTGTTCTCTCATTTCATCACCAATACTCTTTTCGGTACACTTATCTTTTCTGATGGTGTTGCCAATTCCCGATGGTTTGAAACTCATCCGAGCCCTGTTTGCTTTTCTTAGCCATAGATGCCAGTAAACCCCTGGTCACTACGAAATCCCAACCTGTGATATGTGACCTGAACTCGGACGCGGTAGCCGATATTTTCGGAGAAACTCCCTCGGACGAACGAGTGATTATCTATGGAGGGTAAGCATTTCTACCCCGCATCGATTACCTTTTGCCTTCGGATGTCGTCACTAACCTGTGCCATTTGCTTGTCCTGCTTGAATGCTTTCATTCGTTTGTGTGAGATAACCAAGTAGTCCGATGAAAATTCTGGGCACCCCACCATCGGCCTTTTTTAGGCTCATAAGTAAGGTCTGATCACCGAATTTCTATCAACCCTACTCCATTATTGAATACCGAATTCGTAATGATTTGCAATTGAGCGTTCAGCGCAGCGTACTTAGAATTTGGTGTTGGAGAGGGATTAGGGGACTAATCCTACCTTTTGAGCCCTGAACAGAGCAATAGCAGTAGCGGCTGCCTGGTTCTGGTGAGCCATGTTTAGGCATTTTGATGTTTTGGTTATCATTCCTACGAGGCAGTCTTTGTGCAACTCATTCAGTTGAGGAAAGCTATAGACTGCTGGGATCTGTAAGCCTAGACTGGAGCAATGGAAGAGCATAGGGCTTGATTGAGCTGCGAATTCCTTGATCATTAGTTTACTTCTTTACCTCACCGCTATTTCGAATTGTCATCAAATGACCTTATTTGCTTTCATTTGTGACCTCCATATCCGGAAAGCGATTGATCCGATCAGAATGCATGTAGGCTAGTAGCCTTCTAAGACTGGCGGTCGTAGAAAAGTTCTGTTAAGTTTTTTTTCCGAATTCGTTCAACACCGAACCCTATGAACTGTCCAACGGAACTTATTGGTAGAGATCTTTTTCCAGCACCTCCGGATTCAGTTTGATCGTGATGCGTTAGCCAATGGCCACTTAACTATCGATAAGAAACAGCACTGTGAGATCACTAGTACCTAGCTGTCGTATAACCATCCCAGTTTATTTGGGAATAACCCTGGATGTAAAAGTACTCTTGGATTGTTTTGTTGTCGTGCCGTACTATTTTAGCGTCACTATACTAAGCAGTTTGGCTTCACACGGATGCAAACCTTTCATCTTTTTCTCATTGCTCAAACACTTCGGTGCTCATCTTGTTGTCCATTTGACTGATGGGCGATAAACCGACTGATTTTCTGTACATTAGTAAACAGTACGCCGTACGTGTCTTCTCTAACACAGGCGCAATCTAACCATCCGGACAATTGCCTACCAAGGTCCTCCGTGGTCTTCTTTGGGCTATTCAGCATTTGGGGATGTCAATGGTGATACAGTTCCAGGTAAGTGTTGGTTTAATTTGCTGTTTATCGGCTTTCGTAATCCCTAATTGGCAACGCGATAAGTAGTTGTATCATGTCGAACTCCAACATGTAATCCTTGTCGTCATCATCATCCCTCCTCATAACAGCAAATGTTGCTGCGAAACCACGCCAATTATTATGAAGAACCTCTATTTCTAGTGGTACGCCGGGCGTCACCATTCTCCAAGTTCATACTCAAGCGTGTGCCATTTACTGAACATAGGACAGAGATATGGTTCACCAACATGCTCGCGTACGCGGTTGCTCTGTGGACACAAGGTGGCAGTCGACGGTGCTACGCTTGGAGTTACAGTGTCCCCTACGGTTCGTGCTTTATGAGGTTGTCTTCTTTGAAGACTGGTGGGAATGCTCCACTTGGGAGGAGTTGGAGATTTTCAACAACTTTTTATGTCTCGTCATTTCGAACATTTTGATGAATTTGATTAGGCGGCTTTTGCAAATAGAGATGATCTTTTGCCAACTTGAACTACTTATCGTTTTGACGTGATATTCAACTTCCTTTGAAGGTCAGATTGTACAACTCTACTCTCCGGGCCGTATTTCTATACGGTTGAGAAAGTTATCAGTGATAGGGTCCGCCCCGGATGTTGGGTACCGCCAGCCAAAAAAGACTGAGGGACATTTTACAGCACCGTGTGGTTCAGGCATATTCTTTGCATATCTTCCCAATGATTTTTAATCGGGGCCTTGTCCGCATGCGTTGGCTCTTACTGGAAGAGAGAATAAGGTGGACGTGAGATGACTTGGTGTGCGGGTATGAAAAACCGCATAAGAAACTTATTCTCAGTTGTTTCATCTCGCCTCTTGGGTTGGGGCCGAACGACAATGTGTCGTTGACTATTTACATTCAAACACATGTCCACCAATCTCACATTTGCTCCAAACCCTAAGATAGAAAAACAGCAAAAATATCAGAACTACGTGCAGCCAAACAGTAGCATTTTCCCATACTGTACCTCCCTTGCGCGTTACGTTTTTTTCCCCACACGGTGATTTTTCTGACGTGAGACCCGCTCTCAGAGTGGTACGGTATACACATATGTACACAGTATATAGTATATCCGTCTGTACAATGCCAACTTGACTTTGTTCCACACTGCAGTGTTTCTCGGCTTGGTGACCAAATGGTAGCGTAACTATGTGTTGACACCTAGTTCGTAGTTTTATGCACATGCACCAAACAGTGTTGCATGCATAACGGTAGCGGAATCCCGGGCGGAAATCTGGTCCTATCATACTGTGGTTTTCCGAACAGCTTCCGTAACAGAAACCAGCTGATTCTTCGCAGCACAGTAGCTTGGCTTTGGTTCAAAGCCCTCGAGGGTGATGATCATCATTGTGCTTGAAGCGTTTGAAATCAAACTCATTTGACGGAAGTTCGAACATTCTGTTTGGAAAATTTGTGAATGTTGACTTGGAGGTCAAGATGTATCCCAATCTGTAGGCTTGCATGAGGAGGTCGACCAGTTGGCGAAATACACTCATTTGAATATTAATGGGAGACTCACTTGGAACTCAGCTAAATCTCTTGCTTATGATGGTTTTAAGGTTTCCTGGTTGTTAGAAAATTACTCCAAATGGGTTCACACGAGGTTATTTTTCGACGGTTCTTTGATCAAGGCTAGCTTCCTTTCTTGTGTGTTGATATATCCGTGATAAGTGGATAGTCAGTTTCGCGGAGTGACATGTGATCGCCTCTGACTAACAGGATTAGACCGCAAACTGGACAGTTGCCTCCCGTCGACCCCGAAGTCCTCCCCTCCGCTCGGTAATATAAGGTACGTTGTAGCTTCGTCCTTATAAGGTCATCTGTATTATCCGTCAGCTCACTACCGAACACGGTACTCATGGTCAAGCTAACAGGAAAGCGCATCAGACTTTCACTCCATAGACTTTTTACCGGTCGAAGCCCACCAATGACAGCAGACGCTGCACGCAGAACCGATGCATGACGAACGGAGTCATCATTCCCAAGTGCTGAGCCTACAAGGAGAGAGTTATTAATGGGGTGGGGAGAGGGGAAGATTAAGTATGTGAAGGAGAAAGAAGGGAGGCGTCAGCAGTAGCCTGTTTTCGCTTACCCGCCCTGCTGTATGCAGCAAGTAAGGCGACCCGGCTGATGGCACCACGCGACGGCATGAGTTTATTTGTGTATGTGCAATTCATGGTTGTACGTGGGTTGGGATACTGCCAGGACGCCCACACCTAGACAGGAGGACGATTAGGGTCCTCACCCAAAGCCTTTGGCTCAAAAGCCTAACCGCAAGGCAGCGGTGTTTGGCGGGAAATGCAAATGCATTACCATTTCTACGGAACAAGTCGCCACATGTTCCAACCCCCAACCTGGAGGGCCAGGAGACTGTGTT